ACTAAACTGAAACTTCTATGCCCTGAAAAAACATTGGTTGAATGTTTAACACAAAAAGCCATACTAATGGAGATAAAATTGATATGTGAGGCGAAGAGCTTGTGGTTTAATGTTGAGGAGACAGCCAGACAGAGCAACAACATTCTGAGATTTAATACATAATTAAATGATGCACCTATCCAAAGTCCAAAGTCTTGACTACTGTTAGTGATATCTGGGGTTTTGGCTTTGGAGACTGTTTTTCTCTATATTTTTCTCTTAGTTGCCCTCACTCGATCTTACGCTCAAAATAACTACAAACAAGTAACATCTTAAACCTCCAAAAGTCATAACCCAAACTGTTTTGTTCCTGAATAAAGAGACCTGGGCTTGAGTTCCTTCTTCTTTCATGGGGAAAAAATAATTACTTTTTCACTGTCAGACAGTCAACATCTGGTATTAAAGTTAAAAATTAAACAGCAACACTCACACATTTTATAGCAAAGAGAAATACATGAGGAGATCATGGGGAAAAGATACAGTGTCTGATGATTCATGCAGTTAAATCTATGAGAGTATCTCTCATACAATTCATTACAATTCAGTAGATCTGTGGGATCTGTGGCATCTGTGGGAGTGATTTAACTCTTGGCTCACTGGCTCAATTTGACTCACCTCTCATGCTGAAAAGTCCGTGCAAAACTACAATGTCAAATTCCAGCAACCACTTTCTAAGAAGCTTTTTCTTGTGGTGAACATAAGTTAGTGACCCTAACCTTCTTATTTTTAATACAAGATTAAGAATTAAACTTTTATCCAATTGAGTAGATAAAATTGCTAATTTTTGAAGTGTACTAGGCTGTTGTGATCCAGCACTAAGAATAGGACATGACCCACAATACTTACAACTTTTTTCTCTGGTAGCATTATGATAGTTATACAATCAAATCCAGGAAGAAACTGAGATGAGAAGTTTTTAGACTGCATATATTTATGTCCAGCAAGCAGTTTAAATCCTTGGTTAATGCAAAGCATTGACTTCTACTAATAACAACTAATCTGCAGAAATTAGCTTGAGATCTAAAACCTGCCATTCCTCTTTATTTTTAAGGCCATATTTGTTTTCTGTTCATACCTTCAGTCTTAAGGAGACAGTTTGTATAATATTATTTAGCACAATCTTCAGAAATCTTCACTGTATTTGCTGTTAAGAGCATTTTACCTACAAAAGTGAGTGTAAGCACCCTTGAACCTAGTTTCTGTTATCTGCCAAAACACCTTAGTTTTGAAGCCACTGCTGATAACCCTTTTTCTTGTGTTAAGTTATATTTCCCATTTTTTATAATTTTATTTGATGATTAATTATCAGCTTACATTTTTTCCTGATATCTTTCTTTATGCTTTCCTTGTGAAGTCTACATAAATTTTAGTGGTGTAGTTTATTGAAAAACAAATTGGGAAATGTTCAGATAAAACCAATTTCCATTCTCTGTAATACTACTGAAACAGTATCTGTATTCTAGTTTTTACCTGTCAGGCAGAGTTGTGTATTCAGGGCTTGCTCCTACAGAGTTAATGTCAAGGGAAAGTTTTTACTGAAAAGGACAGCTAAGGTGCCTCTACTATATAAAATTGGACAAAATTATGAAAATCATTTTATATGAGACCACAAGAACTCATCCTTTTATCTGAAAGAGCAACAGAATTCTTTTCACAGAGTCACTTGGAGCAGGTTTCCTTGGAGTAAATGGAAACACATTGCTTACTTTTTTTCCTGAAGGGGATTAAATGTGGTTTTGTGAAATTACTTTTTTTAATTCAAGGTTATTTTTGATTGAAAATTGTGATAGTTTCTTTTGGAAAAGCTAAGTGGAGTATATCTCACAGAATATTTTTGCAGGAGAGAAGAAAACTCCCTTTCAAAAGTAATTTTCAGTAATCGATAAACAGATCTTCTTAATGATTTCTTAAAATCTCTTCTTTTTCTTCTAAATAAAAACAGGAAGTTTGGATATGAAATAGTGTCATGATTTAAGCCCAGTAGGAAATTAAGCAGTCACTCTCTCAACAGCTTCTCTCCCCCCACACACCCCAGTGGAATGGGGGATAAAATCAAAGTAAAACTTGTAGATTGAGATAAGAATAGTTTAATAATCAAAAATAATGTAAAATACAATGATAATGGCAAGTGATAACAAAAAGGGAAAAAGAAGTGCTGTATGATGCAGTTGCTCACCCCCTGCTGACTGACATCAGAACCCCTTTCCTGAACCCAGTTTGGACGTGTTTCTGGTAACTTCCCCCAGTTTATATACAGGGCATGAGTTCTGGGGTGTGGAATATCCTTTTGGTCACTTCCAGCCACCTGTCCCATCTAGGGTCCCTCCTAGTTTATTTTGCATTTCTCTTCACTGTTAAAGCATGAGACAAAAGGATAAAAAAGTCCTTACTTAGCAAAACACGAAAAATCAGTGTGTTATCAAAATCACTCTCATTCCAAATTCATATCACAGTACTGTAACAACTACTGAGACCCTCTATTCTAGTGGAAACCAGGACATAAGGGATGTTGTCCAAGAATGTGTCACTTTTAAATTTTGGTTTTGAAGATTTTGAGGGACCGATAAACAATTTCTCTGAGCTGCTGCTCTGCAGGGAAGATGATCTGGAATTCTATCTAGAGTAAGCTGGATGCAGCCATCACTACCTCCACTGGAAGTTGAAGTTCAAGTAGGGGATGTAGAAGGGTAGAAGGGGAGCAGTGGGGGGACCACCAAAATATATCAGGGGAGTCTGTTCTGTCTTCTCTTTACCCACCCTTTGCAGAGAAGACAACAAATATCTGCCCTGAGCCTTCTTTCCTGAAGGCTGTACAAAGCCAGCTCCCTCAGCCTCTCCCCATACATCATGTGCTCCAAACATCTCAGTGGACTCCTGCTGGTCTCTTTGCAGCCTGTTTATGCCTTTCCTGTGTGGGGAAGCTCAAGACTGGGCACTGGACACAGAATGGCAGTCCCAAAAACAAGGAAATCCATCACTTCTCCTGAGCTGCTGGCTGCACACTATATTTTAATTTACTTCAATTCAGAGTATTTGATGAATACCCATAGGCACTGATTAATGAGAAAGCAGCTCTTCTTTCCAAACTGTAAATAAAATGCATATCTCAAGTGCCTATGTATCTACGATGACACAAAGCCTGGGAAACTAAATTAATGGATATGTTAGAGTCAAGAATAAAAAAAAGTTTCCTTTTCTATCATGGCTTATAAATCTTTTATTTAGAAACATTTCTAAGAATCAATTAATTCCTGTCAATGTATGAAACTAGAAGTTGACTCTTTTAGAAAATAACAAATATTAGAAAAACATTTAATCACAGGAATGTGACCCTGTGAGATATCGTCATACTCAAGCAAGCAGGAGAAATTATGTGTAGTACGAAATGCAGGAGTACATGAATTTCAATTCAAGGCAATTTTCTGTCTGTGAGACTAATGTAAATATTGGACTTCCACATTACAGCTGATGTATTTTTTTAGTAAAATGGCCATGAGTAAAGAAGTAAATCTGAATCTGATATGAAATTCAAAAGCCTACAACTTTTTAAAAAAAAATATATAATCATGACAGATTGTATCTGAAATATTTGGTGAAGAAACGGCAATTATTGAAAATCCCTGAACATTCATGTGGAAATGAAAAGAAAATGCATCATGAGGCCTCTTTAAAAGAAAAATAATTGCATGCCAGGCTCATCATGGCAAATATTGTTTTTATGATTCCTTGAATTTAATCATCAGTAGCTACAATTTGTTCTTGCAAATACAATCCACACTTCATCTCTCTGCTAGTCACCAATTTATCTTCCTTTCCTTTTTCCTCTTGTCTGAAAGCACAGGTATTCCATGTGAATGATGGTTCACTGTTAACCAAGGAGAGTTGATGTCACTGTTGCTGCTCAAACAAAAGGATGACAGAAAAATCCTATTTTCCCCATTCACAGTGTGGGATTTCTCATCATATTTTTGCTGGTTGCCTTTGAAAAGGCTGGAGCACTGCAAATACAGCTCAAACAGGCAGTGTTGATGGGATATACACCAGTAAACACCCTGTCAACGGCATTTGATATATCCTAGGATTAATTTCACACTGGAGAAAACCATCTAAAAGTTCACATCTTTGGTTTTCTGTTTATTTGTGCCCTTTCATAGGCACCCAAGAATGATGAGCTCTGAATAGTAACTAGACAAGTTACTTGTATAAATTAAAAACAAGACAGAGCTCTTTAAGCTCCAGCAGAAAACCCATGTGGACTTAACTACCTAAGGTGTGCAGTGCAATTCTTGCTCACTGAAATACATCCAGGTGGTTGGGTTGGAACTTCTTCCCTGTGTATAAAGTGAGACCTAAAAATCAGAGTACTAAGCAGTTCAGCTACAGCTATACCTCTGTGAAAATCCTATCACTTGGCAGGTGGGGAAATTTTCTGGTATGATTTCACAGATATTTCCACAAAAGTTAGTATGCCCTCAAAGATGACAAAATCACCAACATCCACCCCCTGTCCCTTGCAATGAAACAGATTAGGCTGTCAGCAGTCCAATTTAATCTGAGAAAAGCTAGGAATATTTTCAGTCCCAACTCACCAGCTATTTCTGTAAAGGTGCTGGATGAGACTTCTACCAAAAATGTTGCTAGGGATCTTCAGTTGATTTGAAGAAATATGCTCACAATAGTTTCAATATTTCTACACAGTTCAGTTTGGCAGGCAAGCTCTCCAGAAGAGAGATTCTGTCAATGAAAACAGGTTTTTGCAATGAAAAACTAAAACTAGACTTGTGTTAACTTTTTGTAATAACTAATGGCAAATTGACTTGCGGTTAGCAAGTCAGCAGGTAACCTCACTTGAATCATCAGAGTTTGCTACTCAGGATTTGTTCTGACACTGATAATGATTACAGCTAATGCTTGTATTTTCTGACTGCTTGTTTCATCAAAATACCATTCTTTTCTAAAAGGTGGGGAGCATTACCTGACAAAAATGGACAGAAACAGAAATTTTGGGTAAGTGAATACTTTGAACAGTGTTTTGAAGCAGATGAAAAAATATCTCAACAGCAGAGATCATGTAAAATCTACTTCTTTACTCTCTCTCTATTGATTTTTTTCCTTCACCTTAAAGTGTCCTACATAATTCTATTCCCTCTCTGGCAACTTTTATCATGCTGACCCTCGAACTATTGCATCACCTACCTCAATTTCAAAGCCTGCTTCATCCCACCTATACCTGTGGTTTTTCCTACACTGCCTTTTCTGTTTCAAATCTTATTCAATTTTTCAAATGGTATTAAAATTTCTATGAAAAGTCAGTTCTTTTTGATGTCTGCAAATGAAAGTCAGTAAAATTAATCAATAGTAATTGTTAAAATATTTAGAAAAGACAAATTTTCTGTTTAAACAGTGTTGGAAATTGTTATCCAGCCATCAGAATAAGCCCCCAAAACTAAAACCAATCAAACTAAGAACATTTCTTTTAAGCCATTTAGAATAAGTTAAATTTTATCACTTGGACTATGACTAACAGCTCATCCCATTATTCCTGTGTTCATCTGAAGGTACTTTGGTGTTTACACAGCAGGGCTTATGGTAGGTATTTCACTGGTATCAAAGGCAAAACCTACTGAGACTTTATGAGAAAATAAGTTTCTTTATATGTCAATCAATAGCTACCTGAATAAAACATCATTCTTTAAAACTCATTTGATATATATATATATATATCTATATATATATATATATCTTTGGTGCATCTCTGACAGGTTAGTTGGAATTCTGACCATTGTTGTTTCAATAACCACTTTCAGCAGTAAATAGTTGAATATTCATGTAATGATTTCTGCTTCAATGTATCAAACTGTCTTGTAGAAATACTATTCCATTTTTACTAACCCTGATTTTGGAATTGAAATTTTGATCAAACTGAAAAAGGAACAAATTATTCGAAATCAGAAAAAGACACATGCTAATTCTCAGTGCACTCAATCTGAGAGACTCTATTCCTTAAAGAGGAAGTTAACACAAAAGATTAATTTTGCATTTTACACTCTGCATTTTAAAATAATATTTTAAAATTAAAATAGATAATTTTTTCTGTTTTGTTTACTTTTAGATTGCTGCAAATTCCTGGGGAAAATCTTGGGGAGAAAATGGTTATTTCAGGATTCTTCGTGGACAAAATGAGTGTGATATTGAGAAGCTGATTTTAGCTACTTTGGGACAACCATAGTTTATCTGTACCATACTCTGCTTGATGTATCTATTCTTTCCATCATTGTTTATTGAGTCTTTATTGGGGAAAAAATGACGACTTCTCTCTCAGTTACCTTTCTAATAGCCCTCATGAGGTCTTCCTGACTTGAACACACTGCAGACATCATAGCACACTTGGATCTCATCAGGTACAAAAAACCCTTTAGACTAAAAGCATGTTACATCCAGGACTACTGAAAACCTTGATGTCTCACCGAGCAGGAAGTTCCCTCCTCATTGAACAATGCCTGAAAAAAATGGAGTTACAGTGTTAGCATTAATCTCTTTACAATATATATACCCTGACCAGAAATTACTTCAGAAATATTAGGTGCTCTTCCAAACAAAATTGGCTCAGACAGCTCATGGTCATACTGGATAATAAATTCCAAAGAAATGTAAGCAGTTCTGATCCTGTAGTTGAAGAATTATTTCCTATCCACCTTTACTGAAAACTAAGTAGATAAGTTGTATCTATGTATCAATATCTCATCCAGGAAATTAATTTTTTTCTAGTAGATCCCACAAAGTTGATGCATTCAGTGTAATACAAAAATAGCTTGTAATGAAAGAGTGTGTTCCTGTTCCTGCAACCACAACCGAAATGGTACAATTTTAATAATGTTTTAATTAAAATAAAATAAAGAAGAAAATGTAATTTCTCCTCAATTCAGTCTAGACTAGACTAATTCCTGAACTGCTTGCCTTCCATTCCCTGTTTAACCTGAGAACAAGCACGTGCCAACATTCCCACAAGCCTGTTGCAAACAGAAAAAGATGGAAAAGGTATTCTGGTGTTTGTCTGGACTGACATATCTGTAATTCAGGCTCAGTTCCTGGTGTTGGTCACCATGATCAATAGTGCAAATGAGACACACAGAACTCCTGATGCTTCTGTAGCTACTTCTGTCTGAAGAAGCAGCTTTTTGACACACATTCCCTCCTATAAGCATTGCTGCAAATCTTGACAAGTTTGAGGACTGTTTTGCTTATTTGCTAATTAAAATATCAATATTGAAACTATTGGCATAAGAAGAAATTAAATAATTTCTAACCCTTTCTGTTTCAATTAATCCAAAGGCCAAATGCCAACTAGAATAAAATTATCTATGAAAGAAACCATGGCACGTTAAATAAGTAGGGGGAAAGAGCTGCCATGAAATATCAGTGAACAAAGAACTTCCAGGTGTACCTTCAGTGTGTTTAATAATGCTTATTCTTTCTAGAATAAGAAGCTGTTTTCTAATGCCATCAGCAAATTCATTCAAGAATTTTTCATGGCAGTGGTATATGACAAGTGGCCATGTCTCTGAAATAACCTCTCTTAATCTAAAGCTGAGTGACTATTTATGCTGCATCACTTAAAGAATGACATTTGTTAAAATGGCATTACCATACTGCAGCACAACAAGCCTTCTGTGGCCTTTAGTGTCATATAGTAAACTGAATTTAGACACAAAAAAACCTTTATCATTTGAAATTTGCAGCAAATTGTAACACAAGCAATTTTAGAAGCTCTAAATGCTGTGAGAGAAATAACTCTTCTAGTTTTAGTGAGCTAAGGTAGTGCTTGAGAGAAAAATATACTAAATCATCTGCACACCTATTTCCCAACCTCTTGGTATGTATTGATTCCATAAATGTCAAGATTTCAGAAGAGTATAATTTAACTTTGAAGTGAATGACACTGTAAAACATGTTCAGTAAACTCTGGAGGGGATTACTTATTGCAACTTCAAGTTGGCTTGCACTGCTGTGGCTTTTACTTTTGCCAGTGGCTGTTGCTGCTCCTGATTTCCTTATGAGACCTTCCTAAGATCTGGTCTGTGATGTTAAGCTTCTAATTTAAGGTAGTTGCTTTGTCCTGGATGGTCAGAGTGAGATTCCTCAAGGAGAGCTTCCCCTGGGCATGCTGAAATTAGGGAGGCTTCACAGCTTCAAGCTGGCAGCCAGCACTGGGACTCACAGCTGCAAAGCTTTATGTGCAGCTTAGTGCAACCTGCTTTATAGGAACACAGCCTGAAACAAGAGGAACAAGAACTCCCATGACATAAGGAATTTGCATCTAGAGCAGAGATGAGACAAGCCCCAAGAACAACATGGGAACTGTTTTCCTGTAGGTGCAGGGTTCACAGAATATTGCCAGACTAAGAGCAATCCTGAAGAGAGGAGCTACACTTCCAGAAATCAGAATAAGAGAAAGATATGTTTGTAAATATTTTCAGTGTAATGTTTTAGTAGAGCTCTGACAGGAACTTGCACTTGGTCACTTAATGCTATACCTACCATTTGGAAACTGTTTCCTAAATGAAATTATATCTCTACACCTATTCCTCCCTGCAAGGACCAGGTTTTTATCAGGATAGAGGCTGGGTCTCTGCTTCAGTTAACAGAAAATTGTAACATTGCTTTATTCTAAAGTTTTCCTGCATCTCCCCTCAGTCCAGATACACCTGTATCCAGTTACCATGTTTGTTTCCAGACAATGTGGAGACTCCCAGCTCTCAACATTTTCTCAGTCCCATGTTGTTCAGCAGTCACCCCAAATCAAGGATGGTGGCAGAGGTCAGTGGGTGAGGGCAGCAGAGCAGGCACCTCTGACTCAAACAGCTTTTAGTTAGGGCATATTAGAGACAGAATGAATGCAATGAAAGGAATAATTTCTCTTTTCTTTATTAGTCTAGCTGTCAAATACACACACCATAATACAGTAAATGTTATTGCTTCATCTATAACAATTTATTGTTTTGTCTGGAAATCTTTATCATGGAGCAGCACTGCACAAAGCTTTTCCTGGAGAAGGCAGCTAAGGAAGAAGCCTGAGGCAGGAGATCAGACTAAGCTCACCACTGAAATCCTCTGTGCTTTAAAGTTTTTGGGGCTCTTGAAGCTGTGGGCTACCTCAGGCTCTGTATGAAATATTTTAGGCTTATCTGCATGTTTCATTCAGCTCTTCCAACAGTGACAGCCACACAAACACATAGATGGGAACTCATTAATTTAAACTACTGCCTTAATATAAGCACGACTGCAATTCCATTGCAAAACTCCGGAGACTATAATCTTTTATTTCTCACTGCAGCAAAATGAGCATAAAAACACAAGTGTAGTTCATTATGTCTATCAAATAATGATACACAGCCCAATATGTTATCAAAGAAAAATTTCTAGAAAGCTTATGAGTAGAAGAAAAATATTTAGCCCTAGTGTGCTGTATTGTCATACTGTGAAGGACTCAGCTGTTGGTCCAAATTAATCAGCAATATTGCTATTGCATGTAGTTATAATACTGTTCTCTCTCAGAATCATAGAATTAGAAAGGACCTCTAAGGTCATCAAGTCCAACCATTAACCTAGCACTGCCAAATCCCAAACATGCACCCTTCAATGGCACATCTACAGCTTGTTGAAATACTTCCAGGCATAGGGACTCAACCACTTCCTTGGGCAGACTTTTCCAAGTCTTGAAAAGCCTTTCTGTGAAGAAATTATTCCTAATATCCAATATTAGAAATTATTCCTAATATCCAATGTAAACCTCTCCTGGCACAACTTGAGGCCATTTCCTCTTGTCCTGTCGCTTGGCAGAACAGATTAACTCCCCACTTTTTGAAAAGGTTCTTCTCCATCCTCCTTCAGGCTAAACAAATCCAGTTTCCTCAGCCTTGTAAGATTTGTGCTCCAGCCAAATAGCTTCTCTTCATCAAGAAACTTGGAAACAGCAAAACTGGAAAATCAAGGTTTTAGAAACTGCTTGTCTTCTTTTTTAAACTACAGAAGAAGTTTTTTAAGAGCACTGTGTGCTACTAGCTAGTAGGATCCACTACATGTGAAAAAGTGTATTAAAGTGTGACCTCAATAGAACTCAAATTGCTGAAGTCTGTGAAGGTCTTGACATCAGAAGAAAGGCAAAAAAGCATAGAAGAAGAGGGAGGGAAGAAGTGTTTTAATAATTCTTTTTGGTTTCCACCAGGTATGGAAGCAAAAAGTAATTGTACTTTTGTCTTGGAAACAAAATTCAGCAAGTTCTTCAGGGCTTCAGCTCAGTCTAAAGCACAAAATGAGGCCATATTTACAGATTTTTCAGCAAGTCTGGGCCAAACTTTGACAAAGTCTAAATCCACAATGTGTTTCAATTGGAATCATCATCTTGTTATAGTTCCACTCCACCGAGTCTGGCATGAAACTCACCTGTTTCACTCTGATTTCCTTCTTGGAAAACTAACCAAAATCAAAATGGACTGTAACAGGAGATTTTCTCAACTGCACTTAAGGAATGCACCAGAACTAAAAAAAAAAAAACCAACCCAAAAAAATAACAAAAAAACCACCCCTGCATCTTTGGTCTCTACTAAATATTTAGCCTGTCAAATTTCATACAACACTGCTGCAAACAAAAAATACTAGACCACCACAGTGGTAGCTGCCGTAGTGACATTTTCATGGTAAATAACTGCATAAGGATTCATCCAATAAAAAAAGACAGAGGGAAAAAACACAACTAATCACTCATCTTTTCAAGCTCTGAATAATTTATTGTTCCATTAAACAGGAAACCTTCCTTCTTTGAGTGAAGTTTGGATGAACAGATGGCCATTTTACTAGTTGGCTACTTTTAATGTGGATTTTCGTTCACTGTTCTAATGCTTCTTTGTCCCTCATGGTGTGCTGCCTTTTAATGTGTTTGCATTTCTTGTGTTACCTTTGTTATTACTGACATGCTAATGTTTGGGACACTGAAGGTGATATTTAAATAAGGTTGCAGGCAAGTCATCTGTGTATACTTAAGAACTTGGGTTCCCATAAGTTTCCATGGTATTTTGGAAAGGCTGGTGGAAGTTATTTCAGGAGAGCAGAAGAACAAGAAATTTAATGGAATTTCTGTGTACTGAATTTTCTCGATGGACAGGCTGCCCAAGTGCCAGTAGTAGAAAGGGAAAGAACAAGGCAAAACTACTTTGATTTCAGTCTGATTCT